GAACTCACTATGTAGACCAGGCTGGCCTTGAACCCACAGAGATCTGCCTGCCTCTGCCTCCCAAGTGCTGGGATTAAAGGCGTGCGCCACGACACCCAGCTCATGTCTTTTATATTTTTAATGTAGATTCTACACCAGAAAAAATGTATTTGTCTGAGTCAGATTTCTTTTTTGCTTAACATGTTGATTTCTAGTTCCATCCATTTTCCTGCAAATGACACTATCCTCCAGGGGCTGGATATAGTCCCCTGTACATATATACCACATATATGGTGTTTTCTTTGTCCATCTGCTGATGGGCATCTAGGCTGGTGCCACATCTTAGCTATTGTGAATTGTGACACCATAAGCATGAATGTGAAAGTATCCGTGGCATGCAGCTTTTGACGTAGTTTGGTATGTATTCAGGAGTGTACAGCAGGATCAGATGGTAGTTTTATTCATTTTTTTAAAGAAATCTCCATATTGACTTACACAGTAGCTGAACTAACATTCCTACCAACAGTATATAATAAGAGTTCCTTTTTTCCACATCCTTACCAGCATTTGTTATTTTCCTGATGATAGCCATTCTGACTGGGGTAAGATGGATTTTCAATGTAGCTTTGATTTTCATTTTCCTTTGTTCTACTGGTGTTAGACCCATATTTTTATTCTGCCTACCTCTACCTCCCGAGTGCTGGGATTAAACGCATGTGCCACCATGCCTGGCCATATTTTTATTCTCTATATACAGACATATAGAGTGCTGTTTGTTTGTAGAACTTTTTTTGTTTGTACAAGTTTTTCCCTCTTATATACCTGTTAGCCAGTTTTGTTTTGGTACTCTTTTCATTTTTATCTGACATCAGTATTTGTTTTTGTTCATTTATTAGTAAAGCACAAGTACTGAACCAAAGATGGAAACCATTGTGTGAACAACTTTTAAGGCAAAGAATACAATTTGCTGCTGAGTAAAGCTGCTGAAGACCTGAGACATGGAACAATATACATTTGCTGTCATAAGGATCTTTCCCCCAACATCAGACACATAGACCAAGCTTACATCTACTGTTCAGTCTTTAGTGATCTGACTTCTCTATACGTCTTAAGACGATTAGTATATACTAAAACTGGGGATTGTGCATGATCTAAAAGCTAGACTCATTCTCAGGGTTTATCTACTTCAAAGTGAATTCTGCTGATGAAATAATCTCAGGCCACAAAGGACTTGCCTAAGACTCCTCAGATACACTGGTGCTGGGACTGGAACCTGGAGCTACTTAAACTCTATATTCTTTCCATCACTGTTGTGGGTGTCCTGCTGTCACATAAGCACTACAGTTCTACTTGATCTCTTGAAAATAATGAGGGACATGACTCCTGGTGACTTTGGGAATGATAGTGCCTTAAGCTCCTTGGACTGTGGATATGGCCCTACCTCACAAAATCAACAGGACCAAGCCACGGGCTGATATCACAGATGTTTTAAAATGGTTTCTGCAGGCTGGTGAAATGGCTCAACAGGTTAAGGTGCTTGCCACCAAACCCAACAACATGAATTTGATCCCTGACACCCACAAGGTAGTTCCTGCAAGTTGTCCTTTGGCTTCTATATACACACTGGCATGCATGGTCCTTCCTCCCATAAAAAGATAATAATTTAAAAATAAATAAAATGTTCTCCGCATTTAGTCATCCAGGTTAGGTTTTTTTTTTTTTTTTGTATTTTTGAGACAGAGTCTCTCTGTAGCCCCAGCTGGCCTGGAACTCACTATGTAGACCAGGCTGGCCTTGAGCTCACAGAGA